TTAAGGTGCAGTCTTCAGTAACCAATAAAGATAGTAATAATAATAAATTGCCTTTATTGTTGTATATTGTTATATGCAAATATGCAGTAGAGAAGGGGCGAAGTCTAGCACGAGCTGATCCACTTAAACTTTTAAATGTTTAAATTGACAACTAAATATGAAGTTGTAATTACATTGATAAATTAAATATAGTATAATAGATGAATGTAATAGTAATAATAGTAAATAAAAAGAGTAACATTGAAAATCAAAGTATTTGAGAAGTTTGGAAGTTTAAAACTGAATTATTTAAAAAAAAAATTAATTTAATGTGATTTTACTGAATTTAAAATTAAAAATTAAAAGGGCTTTTTAAGAAGATGAGCTGCGGAACAAAGATAAACGATATCGTGGCAGTGAGATTCTGTAGGGGTCAACTGGATTTTGTGGGAAATCTTATCAAATTTATGCAAGACGAAAATAAATCTGCAACAGCTGTTTTGAATTTTTTGCAACCTATATTTATTAATACTATCAAAACATGGGTAATAGAGGACCATAGTTCTTAATCGAAAGGTGATTGAGCTAAAAGTTTCCATAAACTGAAATTAACGACAGTTCTATGCCTGTATAAATGGATCAAAACCAAATAAGACTTTTTCACCAAGAAAGATACATAGTCTATAATCAAATATAAAACCAAGATTTTTATTACAATTCACAATTTTCAAACGTTCACCGTTAATTAATAAATACATTTGGGATACTTGTTCAATGCTAGGTTTAGGAGAAAAGAACATTACACTGCATTTGTTAGCATTAGGTTGAAGTTATGCAAATCCAAATCGATATAAATTGAAGCAATATCAAATAATTTAGGATCGAAGGAGTAAAATAAATGAGTGCCATCAGCAAATGGATGCAAATTCATTCCAATATTCGATGTATGTATAAATGTCAGGTGTGTAAAAGTAGACTAAAAGTACTAAAACCTTTAGGAAATCCAGGTTGACTGTTAGTGACAGTATGATTAGAAATAACATAATCATAAATTTGTACATTTATGAGTTTCTCCACAACTTTGGCGCGGCAGTATGGAGGGTCATCTGAAGCATTCTAGCAGGTACACAATCAACACCAGCAGAATTTGACTTAAAGTTTGAAATAATGGCTTTAATTGAGTCAATAGTTGCGAGTTTCGGGGCAATTGTTAATATTGCTAAAAACAGATTAATATCACTGGGATTTTTTAAGTTAGGTAGTATTTCCAAAGTAGGTCGGTCACAAATTTTAAACATATTTAATGTTTCCCATATCTGTTTAGAATTCCTAGAATCTAAATTGTAAGACAAATATGCCGATTTTTCTTTACGTTCTGTACTTGTAAGCAGTGTAGTCAGCGATAGATTTGGATTTTTTATATTTCCATCATTTCACGAATAGCACGTGTTAATCCAGGAGCACAGGTTTTGATGATCTTAGAAACGACAAAAGGAGCATGTTTATCAAACAATGAAATTGATCTTCTGATCAATATAATTTATGGCCCCCATTCCTCTTTGTGAACCACACAATAAACTTTTTATTATTCGCGCTTAATTCGGAAAAATCCGCGCCGCCGATGACTCATCGTGAAATGGTTTATTTATATTCCCATAATTTTCGCGTTATTTCCACTGAATTTTCCAAATTAAAAAAAAAAACTTTGTTTTGGTCGACGCGAGCGGCAGCGTCGGCGATATCGGATTAAACAAACCGTCCGGCCTTGCCTATTAGTTAAAATAAACAAAGATGCGCGTTCTCAAAAACACTACTTTGTCGTGGATTTCGTTCCGGTGATACGCTTTGGAGACCGTCCAAGATGTGAAATTTCGGTTCCGACCGCAATCCCGAACTACGTTTAAATCGAGCAAGGTGCGTATCAATTAAAAAATACAAGCAAAATCTGGCGTATCGATAATATCGATACGACATCGATACCGTCGATATTGCGTGCGTTCATGTCGATATCGGATCGACATGCACCGAAATGTCGATAAACGATCATCTCGATATCGACGTAAATAGTCCCGAAAATCCCGGCAAACAAGCGGCATTTGTAAGGACCGTAAAAATTTCCGCGGCTCGTGCCGACACAAATATCAGAACGCTAATTGATGCCCGGTCCGTTAATAGCGAAAAGAAACGGACGCCATTGGCGCGCGACACGGCCGTACTGACTTCCCGACTCGCGACGCGTCGATTTTCTGTTGCCGGAAAGGCCGACCCACGGCACTGGCCCGCTCGGGCGAACATCTGCCGCCGCCGCCGTCTCCGCCGCCGCCGTCAAGGAATCACAACAAGAGTGCGTATGTGTCGTAATGCGGGTATATAAAAATGGCCGCAAAACGAGCGGTTTGGCAATTATTTCTGGGTCGCCGCCGCTCGCGACTGACGACCCCAAAAATAAGTAAATATTCGGCGCAGATGGTGCGCGTTTCCCTTTGAACGGCCATATCGCCGATCCCGACGTGCGTTTCGTCTGTGGTATCGCAGTGATCGGAGGCCATCTCCACGCCGACTAAGGCTGTACATACGCCGACATGTCAATACGAGGTTTCATTCTTTTAGTTTGCCGAATAAACGAAAGCATATTGCACCGCATCGCAGCACGCAATCCATTCCGCTTTTCTTTCGACTCGTAGCTTTACGGGAACGCTTAAAAATAGCGCGGACGAAGGCGGCGAGTCGCGCTTATAAAGCAATTTTCGTGTCGGAATTCAGTCAATGTAGCGCGAGAAAAAAAAAGAACGAGAGGCCCGATTACGAAACTCCGATTGCAGCAGCCGCGCCGCGCCGCACCGACTCTAATAATCAAAACAAATTGGAAAACCTAAAGGAGCCCGCAACGCGCGGTTCTGTCGGGCGCGTCGCGGCTCTCGCGACCTTTCGTCCGCTAGCTCCGCGGACGATGCGGTCCGCGTACGGGCCCCCTTACGGCGACGAATCCCGGCGAGATTTTATGGTCGGGAATTTTTCACTTAAAGCGCGCACGCCCGATCTATTTTTAGACCCGCCAGGCGGCGCTGCCTTCGTTCGGAATTCCCGTTTATAGAGAGGTCTTTACACCACGTTATCTGGACCAAGGCAATTTTCTTACGAGGCGGAGCGACATCTGGATAACGACGGTTGTTACATTTACGAGCGAGTGCTTATAGAACTGAAACCATTGAAGAAATGCTACATTTGGTCATGGAACCAAAGGATTGCTTACTGGAAAGGTTCACACTTAGGGTACCAATTTTACTAGTAAGGTGCAGAAGGATGTGGGGAAGGAAAAACTATGAGAAGGCAAGGTTGCGTGTTACTGGAGTTATGAATATAACCCCTGATGCAGCAATGGAGGTTCTACTCAATGTTGCACCAAACAGTCTACATACAAGGTGAAGCAGTTCCCAATAATTGGTGGATATAAAAACAAGCATCACAAATTTTACAGGGCAGACGAATTTCCGTGACTGCTTCTAAACCGCGTACGGTATATAAAGAAAGCCTACATTTTTTCAAAGAAGCAAAGTATTTGGAAGTTACATATCCAGGTCCAGCTTTTTTGCAAGGAAGCAAAGTAAATACTTCTCGATAGATATGAGTGACCTTTGATCAACAGTTTACCTGGAAAGGGCACATTTAAAGAATCACACTTAGGGTAAGAATTGTACTAAAAGTAAGTCGTGAACGTGGAGACGACAAGGTTGCTGAGTAGCGAGTCTGTGCATTACTGGAGCTTTGACTACAATGCCCGACGCAGCGCTAGAGGTGCTACTAAGTCCTATGACTGCTTATAGATATAACTGAAACCGCGTGAAGTATATGAAGCAAGCTACAATTTTCTAATGAAACAAATTATTTAGGAGTCACATTTGAGCAAAAGCTTATTAGGGCAACAATTTTAGTACTAGGCGCAGAAGGATAGTCTACCAATACAGATCTATATAGAGGTCCATCGAGAACGAACTATACTAACGAGCCTCCATCAAAGCTGTGAAGTTTAATCATAGAGACGAATCTAAGATCGAATGAGATAAGATTTTTGAATCTTGACATCTGGACAACTTTTCCGCAGTCGGAAATTAAGAAATTAAGGATATTTACCGCCCCGTGGGTCGATGCCGATTAAAAAAAAAATCCGTTCACGTGCGTCCTACGCGCGTCATTGGCGTCGACGACGGTTCCGCGTTCGGAGGCGTGCGGTGTGCCACGAGGTTCGGTATCCGGGCACTTTCTAAATAACAGGTTATATGGATAGGACGGACCGCAAGTCTTTGAAACGCGATAACTTCGGAACGGAGCGGTATTGGACGCCGTCTCCTGAGGTCCGTCGAAAACGTACTCGATCCGACCTCGGCGGCCATTTTTTTTCAATCGGTTTCCACTTGTTCGTTGAAAATCGCTACGAGATTTGTTAAGTGCCTGAATTTTTAAGATATCGCACAGTGAAAATTGATATCTGCGGTTTGACGCTCTCTGATATTCTCAAAAAAATGTCATTTACAAGATGGCGGTTGGCATTTGGTTAATTTGACAAAAAAAATACCTTCTGAAAAAACCATAGTGACATTTTTCAAATTGGTAATAAATAAAAATAATGAGCTAAGGGGGAGGGGTGAGGAGAATTAATTATGGGGGGTTATGTTGAGAAATACAATTTAGATTATATTTACAAATTGTGACTTAATTGTCACAGATTATTTAATATTTCTTAGGTATCTGGAAGGCAGTTTAAATCTTGACCCTTCTCGTTAGCTCACTTATTATTGTAATAAACAATATATTAATAGTATATTATGCAACAAGTGAGGTAAACGGCATTTATTTTACGAGTTTATTTGACACGAGCGGAACGAGTGTTTAATAAACGAGTGAGTTAAAAAGTTTACCGAACGTGTTGCAAAGTAATTAACTTTATTTTATACAAAAGTCACAATCTAAAAGTCTCTGAACACTATCACTCTCGAAAAACATTAAATTACAACTAAAATTAAGTCGGTAAAAGCCAAATATTTAAGGATGTAACGAACACGCATAGTAGGCCCACCTGGACGTACCATCGTAGGCCCTGACCGCTGTGTCAGTACTGACGCGAGTGTCAGTCGGCAACGAGTTGATACAGAGATTTTACCGCGTATAACCGTTTAAATTCTGTTTTCATCCCAACAAACTGTTCCTACCCACTTTTATAATAATAAATACCGTTTGCTTGAGTGCGGGTTGTTACTCTAAGTAAGCTAGTGTAACAAGGATAATTTTTTTTTCAAAGAAACTTCCACAGGCTACTGTAATGCTTTTTACAAAACTTCTGGATTCCTCCTGCGTCGGTTTTTGCTCAGTCGAATTGCTGACGTTTCGCCAATCATCCTCTTGACTTCTTCAGAGCTTGACTGAAAATTCAAAGTTTTGGTTAGTATTTGGGAGTATTTTTTATATATTTTATACAGGGTGTGCTGGTTTTGCGCAGAAATTAATTATACACCCCTCACCGCGTAAACGGACTCGTTTTTCCGAGCAAATTAGTCATTTAATTCCAAGCCGAGATGTTTTTCGTGTTTGCATAATAAAATCCCGAACGGTTTTGTTTTGAAAAATAAGGCGGTATGCGCGCGAGTGGGCGACGCCGGCGGCGTCGGCGTCGCTCCGCCATAAATATTGCACGCAGGTTTCGAGAGAAACGCGTTAAATTTATTCCCACGGGTCCCGTCGTCGATGACGCAATCGGGAACGATTCACTTTGCGTAGAAATTTCGTCTCCCGCGATGGCGGACGGGTCCGAGTATTATACGGGCGTGGCCATCTTCTTCCCGTCGTAGCCACGCCCAGACGTAGCTGCGCCGCGGTTCACAACATAACCTCACCGGCCAGGTTTCTCTGAGCAGTTAACCCTCGTGGAATCTTAAAGTATTAATTTTAAATACGTTAAATTTAAGCTCGAGTAGGTAGAGGGGTAGGGTTTTGACATTTTTCCTTCCCTTTTTGCAGAATCGAGTCATCGCACTGAACCGAGCTCCGGCTACTGGCAGCTGGAGCTGGACAAAGACTTGGTCGATACAATCTCGGCCATCTACCCGGACTGGTTCAGGGACAAGATGGAGGGGGGCGGCAGCGCGGGCGGCGGCCAGTCTCCCGCGCGCGACTCGCCGCCCAAGGCGGTCATCGACACCTCCCCGATCCTGATGGATCAGAACAAAGAGTGTGAGTGTCTTCCGGGGTCTACAAGAAAAGCCGTTCTAAGCGTCACTAGTGAAATCTCGCAAACCATATCGCCCTTAAATAGAGATACATTCATATTCAGAAGAAATATTGAGACCATAAAATTAAAAGAAATTATGATCACTGTGTATCAAGGCGGATGAAAATGTTTCTCTAACTGTTAGAGCAGCGGTCGCCAACCTGTCGATCGCGAGCTACTGGTAGCTCGCGCAGGCAACTCTGGTAGCTCTCACAACAATTTTAATTTAAAAAATACAAGCTGCAAAAATCAGAGAAGCTTCAAAATTCCACAAAAAAATCTAATAGTCATGTGGCTTCCGTGTAGGTAACCCACCGTTTATTCCAAAATTAATTGGAAGAAGTTGGCTACCACTGGGTTAGAGGATACTCAACTCCTTATGTGCAGGGTCCTGCGTTAGAGCGTGGGTCATTTATAGCGTCCTTTTTGCCAATATTAAAAACAAAGTTTATTACAAAAGTTGTGGGATGTGGATTGATGCATATTTAAAAAATATTTTTAAATATACCGTCTGACATCGTTTATATTTTTTAATGACACGTTTAGGTTGCTTTTGGTGTTCTCTCGTATGAACGCTTGAAAAAAATAGAAAAAAATCTAGATATGTTTTGTGTGAATAGTAGCGCTAAAAGTCTAATGTGACAATAAACAGGTTTTTCTTATTTTATACAGGGTGTTCAAAATTTTGATACAAAATGGCTTCTTTTAAATCAGCTTTTCTTAGTATTTTTAAATGGCTCATCCTGTATTTTATTTCAATATTTAATGCAAAATGGTTAAATTGTTGTGTTAAAATTCTCAATTGTTTGAGAGATATTTACTAAAATCCACAAACATCCTCACTAAAGTAAAAAAGTATTTGAAAAATATCACAGACTGTCGTAGTAAAACAATATGTATTTATCACTTTACAGACTTTAACAGGAATCATTGGCGGCAATTCATTTTAACAAAATTTCAAAATTAATAGAAATACGCACTGCTAGGGCGAAAAAAAAATTAAAAAAAAAATGTTAATGGGTATAGGTCAACATAAAAAACTTTTCTAAACTCTGTACCATTGTGCGGCGTTGCCGATGCGACGAAGGTATCCCGCTTCTGATGAAAAAACTGCACGCGTTCGCCCCACTATGTCGCGCGCCAGGCCGGTCGTCCGTGACACTAAAGTCCGCGCGAAGAAAAACGAAATCTTTTGCTCGCCCGCCATTGTCTTCCTTCTCGACGCGTAGCGCGCCAATATCGACGGTTTTTGTTTTTTTTTTGTTTTTTCACGCGAAATTTCCGTTCGGTTTTTGAATGTAGTGCGCGGGACGGCAGCATGGTCGCGCCCGGATCGGCCCCTGGTGATATCCGTTTCGTTTGTTGCAGCCCTGAAGGTCAAGTTGCTGTTGCGGAGGCCCTTCGATCAGCTAGTCGCTCAGGGAATCATGCCTCGTGAGTATATTCCGAGATTTTCCGTTTCGTTCTCGCTCGCATTACTTTACGAGCGGCCCCCGACTGTAAGAGTAGACGGAGGGCCCGAAAAACCATCCCCAAAGTCGGCAGATGTCGCCGTTCGGACCTCCCGGATCCCCGGATTTGGTGTCGCGTAATGCGACGTCACGGGGAGGGCGGGCGACGACTTCAATCCGCGGCACCGGGCGGTCGGGGCCGTCCCGGGGGGTGAAAGAGTCGACCAGGTGGCCGTACTTGAGGTTACGCAAGCGAGGCCGCCGAAATCGGCGCCGGTCTGAGTCACATCGCGTGAAATTCGGTCGAAGAGCCTGGCGATTTCTACATTTTATAAATACGGGGGCTGTTCGGAAAGTATGAAAGTATTAGAAGCATATTTTAAATATTCACTCTCTGTTTCTAATACAATTGGTTCAGAAAATATCAGCAACACGAAGAAACACGAAGGAAAAACGCGAAAAGCTCTTGTAAAGTTGCAGCTGGAAATAAATAAATTAATAAATAAATATATATATATATATATATATATATATATATATATATATATATATATATATATATATATATATATATATATATATATATATATATATATATTATATAGCATAGCTCGTCCAGTTTATCATAAGGGATGTTTTGAAATCCCTTATGATAAAGACATAAAAAAATATAATTTTGTCTAAGTTGGGCTTTTAATTGCAAACGAGATTTTTTTTTTATTTTCAATGAAAAATATCGAATAATCTAAGTGGGGCGGGCTCTAAAATTTTAATTAAGAAAAAAGTCTCACGCTAGATTTCCTTTCTCGGTTATTTTTAATATTATGCGACCGGATATTGGTGTTTTCCTTGCTTTGAAAGGGGGGAAGCGTGTAATTTGACGCGCATCAGTGGTCGCGATCCCTGCCTCCCCCCACCCTTTCCGCTCCACTCCAATTTTTGCTTTGTTGACCGGAGCTAGAAAATTTGCTTCATATAACCTTTAAAAAACACTTTGCTGTAACACAAACGAAACTAAGAGAGATTATATACAATTTTTTTTAGGTATTTATTTCTGTTTCTTAATAAAATGGAGATCCTTAAGGACGTGATTCTATGACGATTAAACAAAAAAAAAGTTTACATCAATGTATTGAAAATTAAAAATAAAAATATTGCTTGTCAGACCCCAGTTTACCCCAGACAGAAAGAAGTATTTCTTTTTAAATTTCAACTCTGTATATCGAAAATATAAATATTTTTTCTTGAAACCATCCAAGGTTCAGCATCTTATTATGAAACACACTGTATAATTGTTACTTACAATTTTGGACGAATTTCGTATGTATGCTTTTGAAAGGGGATTCGCATAAAACCCCTTTTCATTGGAAACGGATATGTTTTGAATTATTTGTTACTCTAACGAATAATTTACCATTTTTTTAATTTTTTGTTATTCATTTGTTAATATTTCATTATTACTTGCACCTCCTATATATACTTTTCAAATGGATATTTTTAAAACTTATTTTGAACTCTAAAGAATGATCTACAATTTTGTTTATTCTTTTGTTATTATTTATTTGTTGCATGCACTTCAAAAGGGATAGAGATAAATCTAAAATCTAAATATAATCTAAAAAAAATCTAAAATTAATAATTTTAAAACTTATTTTGAGCTCTAAAGAATAATTTAGATTTTTTTTTTAATTTTTTATTATTCATTTGTTAATATTTAATTATTACCTGCAACTCGTATATATACTTTTTAAAAGGGATTCGCATAAATCTACCTTTATGGAAAATTGACATATTTAAAACTTATTTTAAACCCTAAAGAATAATTTACAATTTTTTAAAAAAAAATATTGTTTAATTATTACTTGCACCTCTATGGATTCACGCAAACGCGGCCGTTCGTTTCAGCGCACAAGACTCCGGCCGTGTACCACGGCCAGCGGCGCCAGCTGGAGCGGGCCAAGACCGGCGACATGCTCAAGGCGAAGATCCAGCAGAGGCCGCCACGGCAGGAGCTCGAGCGCCGCCACATCCTCGAGGCGGACGCGAACCACGCGGACCCGAGCCTCGCCGAGCGACAGCGCATGCTCAAAAAAGCGCGCCTCGCCGACCAGCTCAACGACCAACTGTCGCACCGGCCGGGTCCGCTCGAGCTCATCCAAAAGAACATCCTCCATACGGAGGAGCCGATCGAGCAGGCCGTGAAAACCGGTCGGATTCCGTACAAGGCGACCAGCGAGGGCCAGCTGAACCGGCCCCAACACCCGCAGAACTACGTCAACCCCGAGGAAGACTCGCAGAGCTCGGAGGGCGGCGATAACGTGAGTCCGGGGCCTAGCGACGTGCTGGAGACGGCGGCCAAGTCCGCGGGCATCGTGGTGTCGCTGCTGCAGCCCGCCGACGGTACCGTCGTCGTCACGCCGGTACTGAAACAGGAGGGCAACGAGATAGTGTTCGCGGCGGACTTGTGTCGATCGGTGCTGCCTCAGGGCTCGAGCCCCGCGTCCCTCGTGTCGTCTACGTCGACCCTGAGCCCTCTCTCGTCGGTCGCCAGTCCGGTGCCGTCAATCGTGTCGCAGCCCGCGACCCCGGCGCCTCCGCCCCCGCCGCCGCCGCCGATAGCGCTCGCGTCGCGACCCAAGTGCGACGCGCCCGGCAAAGACAAAAACAACCGCAAAAAGTCCAAGTCCAAGTCGGTGCCGAAGGCGCGCACCATCAAGTTCCACGAGTACAAAGGGCCGCCGAGCGCACAGAAGAGTCCCGCGGGCGGCGCGCAGTCGGGCGAGAGCTCGTACGATCTCCTGCTGAAGCAGCAGACGTTGCTGCTCCAGTTCCAGCTGCAGCTCCAGCACAAGTACCCGCAGATCATCTTGCCCGCGTCGCAGAAGACAGAACCGCAGGCGTCGAACCCCAACGCGCAGCAGCAGCAGCAGCAGCAGCAACCGTCTCCCGCGCCGTCGACGTCTTCGGAGTGTTCCGTCGCGCCGGGCCGCATCTCCGTCCGCCTGGAAGACATGAAGGTCAGCGACCTCAAAGCGGAACTGAAACGTCGCAGCTTGCCCGTGTCCGGCTCGAAGCCGCAGCTGATCGAGCGCCTGAAACCGTTCGCCGCCTCGCCGGACAACAACCTCGGCCACACCGTAGACTCGTCGAGCATGGACCACAGCCACAATTCGCCGCCGTTCCAAGACCTCGGCTCGCCCCACGACTCCCTCAAGGAGGAGCCGTCGTCGACCGATCTGATGGAAGTGGGCGAGGCCGCGAGTCCGGCACCGTCGCAGGACGCCAAAACCAACGAGGACATCGTCAGGGAGCAGCAGCGCCAGATCGAGGAGCTGCAACGGGAACTGACGCTGAGCCAGCTGAAGCTGCAGGCGGCCACGCGGATCGAGCCCAAGGCGCAGATGGTCGCGCTCCAGAAACACCTGCAGGCGCGACAGCAGCAACAGCAGCAGCAGCAGAATCTCGCGCTGCAAATGAGGCAGCTGCAGGCGCTGCAGTCGCGGCAGGCGGCGCGCGTCGACGAGGAGCAGCAACGGTTGCAGCAGCAGCAGCACGTCGCGTTCCAGAACCAGAAGAACCTCGCTGGTCTGGTGCTGAACGGCACTGACGCGGCGATGATGTTCAACCAGCTGATGCAGGGCAAGGCGAAGGTGGCGAACGGGCACTACCATCACGCGCGCACCAACTCGCTGCCGAACTTCTTGAGCGACGGCGCGACGCCTCTGCCGGACGTGAAGGCGGAACCGACGGAGAAGGACAAGAAGGACAGCGTGAAGAGCCAGATCGTGGACGACGTGCTCGAGATACTGATCAAGAACGGGGAATTGCCGCCGAGCGCGGCCAACGACCCGGCCACGCCCCAACTGATCAAGCAGCAGGAGCCCGAGTACCCGACGGACGCGGACGCGATAGACGTGAACGGGCTCGGCATCGATCCGGCCGACATCTTGGACACGCTCGACAACCTGGACGGCATGGACTTTTCGCAGTTCGTCATGGAGATGGCGCCCGCGGACAACAACAACGTGCAGGCGGCGCAGGTCTGCGACGTCGTGCCCATGGACACCGACGATTGGCTGGAGTCGCTCTTGCCGGGCGGCGGTAACAACAACTACGGGGGCGGTGGCGGCGGCGGCGGCGCCGATTTGGGCGGCTACGACCCTCTGCTCGCCGTCTCGCAGGACCCCTTCGACCCGTTCAACCTCGAGGAGTTTCGGTCGACGGCGGACCTCGCGGCCTCCATTTCGTGGGACAAGATCGACTACGCGACGTAGGGCGTGGCCGGCCGCGACGGTGCCGGCAACAATTGACATTCCACGATTCCACGAACGCGAGTTAGTTACGGGAAAATGGCCGCCATCGCGCCGGACGGGACCAGGGCGGCCGCGGACTAGCCCCGCGCGTGTGCGTGTGTGAGTGCGCGCGCGCGCGCGCTTAGGTTAAGTAAGTAATTCGGTGGCGCGAGTCGGGGACCCGGTGGTGGGCGGGGCCCGTCGGCATTCCTAGTCACGTTAACGTACTTAATCGAGGGAGTGGCGGCGGGGCGTCGCGGTTAACTTTAAATCGACGGTTGTACGACGACGTCCGCTCAAACTGAAACGAAAAAGCCGTCACGCCAACTGTTTTCGGACCAAATTTTTTATACGCAATAATTTAACTAGCTAGGGGAGTAGTTTAGGGTAATTCGTAACGATCGACGGGCTCTCTGTCCGCTCCCCTCGCGCCCGGCCCCCGGGCACTTCCGCTAATAGATTTTTTTTCGCCTAATACTATTGTATAAAGAGCATTAATTTTTTTTTTTTGGATATTACGTATACTTATTATATCGCGATGGTTATTGCTGTTCCGGCCGGATCGGTCAATAAATAAAATGTTATTTAAAATGGATACGTCGTTTGAGTCGTTTACCTTCACGCGAAACTGTAGATAGAGGTGGTGACGAGCACCCGCAGAAGGAAAATTTTGATTTTAAAATATTGATATTTGAACCAAATGTTCTGGCTGGCCTAAAGGTACATCACCTCCACGTGGGATAGGTATTTTAATGGCAAACTGCATATAATTAAAAAAAAATACATAGAAATAAAAACTTGCCGTAATACACAGCGGCACAAGCAGTTATACCCCCAGTACGAATACAATGAGCATTAATCGGCATATTTGCGTTCTTTTAAAACGTAAATATCGACGCAAACAAAAGCTGCGTATTTATTAATTCATGCATTAATTTAAGAGGAAATTAGGTCCTCCCGAAACGTGCATATCGACGCAAACATAGACTGCATATTAATGCATTCGCAGTCATTCATCTTCGCCGCCAGTACGAGTTAAATATAGTATGCACTGATCATTAAGGGGCATATTCAAAATTTCGTTTTCTTAAAACGTGCATATCGACGCAAACAAAAGCTGCATATTATTTCATTCACTTGTCCAATGCGTATCAGTCTTCGAGAGGTTATGCCGCGAGCACAAGTTTAGTATATTATGCATTGAGAATTAAGAGGCATATTATTCGAAATGTCGTTCTACAACAACCATATGCAATGTACCTGTAGGTATAAGTTGAGTATAGTATGCACGGAGCATACTATAAAACGTGCAAGTCGAAACAAATAAGAGCTGCGTATTTATTAATTCATTCATTAATTAAAAGGTAAGATGAAGGTGGAGAATTAGTTAAATAGAAACAAAAAGTGCGTTTCTCCGCGGTATATCGATCTAAAAACGCATGCCGCGAGCATGAGTTTAGTATGGTATGTTGACCATATCATCGTACAAAATGCTACAAAAAATATGCCTGGCGATGCATATAAAATGCACTGAGCGTTTAGCGGCAATTTATTCGAGACCTCCCTCTTCTAAAAAGTGCATATGGAGCTAAACAAAGCAAAGCAAAGCTTTTTTCACTCAATACTTGGCGTTCGTTACTCCATTTCATTTCTTTATACTTCCCGACAATTTTCTTGCCTATATTTGTCGTTTTATTACATACAGGGTGTTTCAATACACGATCAGTTGAAGATTCCGCATCCAAAAGAAGAAAAAATTTCAATTAAACATAGGTTCGGAAATGCTTGGTACCTATATACGGGGTGTACAATAAAAGGCTACAAAATATATGATCGTGGTGATTTTCAAAGAAGCAAGGTAGTAAAACAACTCAAGAGTCACTTTTAGCGGCCTTTTCACAGTAAATCACAAAAATGCAGCAGCGTACGGTCGTAAATATTTGCTATATACCGATATCAATTACGTTACCAAATTTCAACCAAATCACACGGTGTCTGTGTAGGTCCGTATACCTAGGAATACTGTTAAGACGTTGTTCTTCTTCTGCTGCATATCCATTAATGGATGTTTCCGATCACATTTGTCCGCTCTTCTTTATTCCTTGTTGTATGTATTAGTCTGTCTAATGTTGCGAAGCCAAGACATCCTCTTCCTGTCGATTCCGCTCTTTCCTTCAATCAAGCAACTGTAGGAATTGGTATCTTTCGTTACATATGCTGTTTGTCGGCGTTTGATTGAGTTCAGCAATTCACGGTGGTGTATTGATCATTTTCAAGATCTCATAGTTTATTTTTCTTGCCGTCCATGGTAAGTATATTCAGTATACGTCTGTAGCTCCACATTTCAAATGCACATTTCCACATTTTAATGCTTCAATATGTTCCGAAGAACCGTGATACTACTGGTCCAATCGCCTTCCTTCTGTCGATGTGTTGATTGCTCTTATAATCTCCTTTTTTATGATGGGAGGTCTAGAGAGATGTTTGTCGTCCACAATAGTTGGCTTTTCATCGGCAAAAAGGTTGCTAATGTAATTTCCCCATATGATTTTACGCTGTTGGTCATTCTGGGCTAACGCTCCCTGGTCATTTTCTACATTAGCGACTTTCTATATGTTCCAACCGTCTCTTTTATCTTTCTATGTAGGTTAAATCTTTCGCGTGTTTCTTGTAAGTGCTCCAGTTCTTCACACTGTCGTTTCAGCCACTCATTGTTAGCTATCCTTATCTTTGTTCTCATAACTTTCTGCATTCTTTTATCTCCATTCCCTTGATTTTTCTACTTTCTCCGTTCTTCTTTTTGTGATCTTTGTATATTCTGCCTGTGCAACATTGGGCAAGGCATATTCCATTCCTCCCCATACATCATCCATATTAGCTTCCTCTATCATCTGTGGATCCATAGTCATCATCTACCTTACGCTGTGGTATATGGATTTTGATGGTCATGATCTCGGTCTGAATTACCGCCATCAACAGAACATGATCCGAGGAAACGTCGGCACCCGGATAAGTGCCGAAACGTTTATTGATTAGTATGTAATCGATCTGGTTGCGCCATGATCATTGCGTATCCCCAGTCTATAAGGGCCCACTAATCCCTCAAATCTTCCTTCTTGTTAGGTTCATATCATGATTTTTTAGCTGTTTGAGTACTTGTTTCAATTCCTCGTAAAACGCTTCGATCTGATAGTCTGCCGAATCTCTTGCGGGCGCATGCACCCGGATGATATTGATGTTGATTGGTTTGGCGTATAATTGAAGTAATATGATCCTGTGAAAGATGTGGAGAAAATTTATTACGGATCTGCACAGCTTTTCAGTCAGAACTGTTCCCACTCCTTTTCTATGGTTTCTGTCATTATTCCCTCAGTAGTACATGACTCCTCTAGAAATGCGACATATTCCAGCTTCAGGCCACCATGTCTCCGCGACTCCCAGAATGTCAGGTTGGCCAGTTTTCGAACCTCATACAAGCTACACACATTGACTTCATTTAACACAGTTCCTCTCCGAAGGTCCGATTGGGATACGATTTATACCTCCGGACAATTTTGAGATAAATGTCGTAGTATTTCATGTGTTTCATGGGAATCCTTTGGGATGAGTAGTGAAGGTGGTCTCCCGTCGCCTTCCGTCACTTTATACAGGGATTTAATCCTAAATATCTGTGCGTACGGTATTACCTCCAATATTCGGTCGCCAGAGCCTCGTGCGTTTTCACCACTCGAGCAGGTGAGGTTGACATTTAGGTAGCTTTGATATTCTGATGTTGAGCGCTACCCCTTGCACCCCCAAGACCACAGTTCAATAATGACCTATGTTTAATATTTTAAAACACCCTGTACGGGGATTGCTTTCGCATTAACCGAAAAAAAAAAAACGCATACTTCTGCGCGAATCCGCTAGCGGCGCTGCATCGCCGAGAGATAAATCGCCCGGGATGTAATCCGTATTCAGCGCGGCCATTGTGTTTGAAACAATGCCACTCTCGTCGCTAATCTTCCGCTCCCCCCGCATTCCCGAAGCAACGTCGGGGGTATCTTAATTATTTTATGCCGTCAAAGCGTCGCCTCGCGCAGGAGATTAGGTCCGGCGACGGTCCGAATTGATATTAACCCGATTCTTTGCCGTAATGGCCGCCGTAAATTGGCCGTATTGTGCCCCCCGTACGCCGTGCCATTAACGCGTTAAGCGTGGCACAATTTCCCGTCGTTTACCGATCCGAGTTGAGTTTGATTTCACAAAAAATCGGCTTCGATTTAAATTTAATGAAAGTCATTTGCACGTCTGATGCTTTGCATTTACATTTATTAAGAGCTACCGTGCAAACTTATCTATGGATAAATTCCGATCAAATTCAAATTACAACTATTGATTACAATTTATTTGGATATGAAGAAAGAAATGGAAACCTGTATCCACGACAAATGACCAAGCCATCGTTACCAGAGTCTTTGATTCAGCCCTGTAAATGTGCAACCATGGCTTGTCATTGCAAAAAACAGAATTTAACTTGTATTTAAGTAATGACTGTCAAAATATGCATCATTGATTATTCGCACTACTTTCGAGTACGTATCTTTATAACTATTTTTGTTGATAAAATAAATTTGTTGGTGACAATTTATAATTTTAAATAATTAATTTCTGTTTTAGTTTCATTGGACAATCAACTATTATTTTTAATTAATAAAAAAATCCAATAATCATCATTAAAATAATTATTAAAATAGCGTCATAATATATGAATAATAACTATAAAAATGTAAATCATCAATTATTATTTGTATTATTATTTCAAGTGTGTACGTATTTATATATATTTATATATATATATATATATATATATATATATATATATATATATATATATATATATATATATATATATATATATATATATATATATATATATATATATATATATATATATATATATATATATATATATATATATATATATATATATATATATATATATATATATATATATATATATATATATATATATATATATATATATATATATATATAGATATATATATATATATATATATATATATATTATAATATAATTATATATATATATATATATATATATATATATATATATATATATATATATATATATATATATATATATATATATATATATATATATATATATATATATATATGTATATATATATATATATATATATATATATATATATATATATATATATATATATATATATATATATATATATATATATATATATATATATATATATATATATATATATATATATATATATATATATATATATATATATATATATATATATATATATATATATATATATATATATATATATATATATATATTCTCACGTATTGATTCACGGATGGAAAAATGTGATGACACTATATTCCGGGATATCATCCGTTCGCTCGTTGAACTCCGACTGGAATCCTGCATCCGACTGGAATCCTGCATCCGACTGGAATCCTGCAAATTTTGCATCCGACTGGAATCCTGCAGACGTGTCGCCAAAATCTCACTTGGCATCTTCAATTCTCGCGCTCCGAAAACACTTCGAACACTCCACAGTAAACACTTTTTTCATAATGTCGGATATGTCTTTGTTGTTGTTTTTTAAATATATTGTGGAATTTTAGGAGACCAAATGAACATCTCAATCAAATCAAATCTATTTATGAAAAAATTCAAATGTTTAAAAAGCCTCTATAGGGTTTCATTAAAAATGATAATGGAATAGAAATATATTTTGTAATTTATTTGGTCAATTTTTATATGAAAAAGACCATTCCATTAAAAAATATAACTTTTCCATAATACTTTACAAAAAATCTGAGTATCTGCGCGGTATTAAGTTTCAAGTTAATGTTAAATGTAATGTGGTATTTTGGAATATCGATAAAGTCGATATCGAGCAGCCCAACTTCGATCCAGCAACGACAGTCCTTTTCAATAGGGGACGTTTTGTATGAGACAGATCTCAAAGGTTTTCGCTATGTCGATCGACAGTTTAATCGATATCGACGGATGCCTCGATCGATACACCTCGGCCTACCGCCACGCGCTCACTTTCAGTGTTGCGTATTTTCGCTGCGGATCGACAATTAAATCGATATCGCGCTCTCGGACCTGCCCCCCCCCCCCCCAAATACTATAATTGCTTGGCGTTTCGCATTAGACGGGCTTCCCTCTCGCAGAAATCAACCCGATCTATTCCAGCAGACAACGAAACGGAATATTTCGTCAGTGGCGTGCGCGCCTCCCCCGCGCCGCCCCCCGGGGGCCGTTAGTCCTTCTCGATCGGGGCGAAACAGGTGTGACGCTCCTGCGCAAACGATCAGGCGTCTCGACGCTCATCGATTGCCTCCGATTCCGGGGGACGGACGACCGTGAATGAATCCCCTCCCCCCCGCTCGCCTACACGTTTCAGTGTATTTGTTTTGGAGGTTTTTACGCGACGCCGGGGGATCTACTTGCGGTGACCGAAGCGGGGGGGCCGCGGGTGGAGGTGGGTTTTGATTTCCCTTCCACCCCACCCTCGGGGTTGAGTAATTTTGTTGGGTAATTGCCCGCGGATTTGTAAGCGGCCCGTTTTGGGAAGAGGGTTGTTTGTTATTTTCGGAAGGAGTAATAATACAAATTATTAATGGGGTATAAAGTACCTACAAAGGTTGCCGTTATCAAAAAATACACGAAACTGCGATGGAAAATTCTTCGCATTGTTATAAAAAAAAATGTTTCGGGCGAGTACGGGCCTGGCTTCGTAATAAATTAATCGATTTACCGAACATCAACATCTTGTACTCGTCGGGTTGACTGATTTCCTATTTTCCGATGGCCAAATACTACAGTAGGGAAGCGAATTGCGAACTAAAATGTATTATTAACTAATTCCCGCTGGCCCGCATGGCAAGCATGCGAATTAATTACTATTACGTTGATTATATTATTATATTGTTATTCGCCGGTGATGAGTTTCGGCCTTTCAATTAGCTGGGCGGTGGCGAAACAATACAATTTCATTGGCTGAAATTATATTATAAAAAAACATTTAGTTAGCTCGTTTAACGCAACCACCACTTTTTTATTTACTATAACAACATTTCAACGGATCGTATCATAATATAAAAAAGTATAAATGCTCATTAACGCTCGTTAATTGAGAGAACATTATTTATGAAATGCATGTCGGATGGTACGTATTTTATTATTAAAAAAGTAAACCCTTCGCTTTATCGAAAGAAAACAAAAAATGCGAGTTCGATGGAGCGAACTAATTATTATAAAAAAAAATAGTATAAAAAGACAAACTCCTTTTTATTTGTTTAAAAAACGGTTTAAAACGCAACCACCACTTTTTTATTTACTATAACAACAAACATTTCAACGGATCGTATCATATTATAAAAAAGTATAAATGCTCATAAACGCTCGTTAATTGAGAGAACATTATTTATGAAATGCATGTCGGATGGTACGTATTTTATTATAAAAAAAGTAAACCCTTCGCTTTATCGAAGAAAACAAAAAATGCGAGTTCGATGGAGCGAACTAATTATTATAAAAAAAAATAGTATAAAAAGACAAACTCCTTTTTATTTGGTTAAAAAACGGTTTAAAACGCAACCACCACTTTTTTATTTACTATAACAACAAACATTTCAACGGATCGTATCATAATATAAAAAATTATAAATGCTCATTAACGCTCGTTAATTGAGAGAACATTATTTATGAAATGCATGTCGGATGGTACGTATTTTATTATAAAAAAAGTAAACCCTTCGCTTTATCGAAGAAAACAAAAAATGCGAGTTCGATGGAGCGAACTAATTATTATAAAAAAAAATAGTATAAAAAGACAAACTCCTTTTTATTTGGTTAAAAAACGGTTTAAAACGCAACCACCACTTTTTTATTTACTATAACAACAAACATTTCAACGGATCGTATCATAATATAAAAAAGTATAAATGCTCATTAACGCTCGTTAATTGAGAGAACATTATTTATGAAATGCATGTCGGATGGTACGTATTTTATTATAAAAAAAGTAAACCCTTCGCTTTATCGAAGAAAACAAAAAATGCGAGTTCGATGGAGCGAACTAATTATTATAAAAAAAAATAGTATAAAAAGACAAATTCCTTTTTATTTGGTTAAAAAACGGTTTAAAACATTATAATATTATTTCTATTCTATTAATCGCCACACTGTATTATAATAATGCCAGTTCGACTTATTATAAAAAATTATATAAAAAGACAAACTATTTTCATTATTCGAACATGAAATCTTTCTTCGCGTCAGATGAAACTGTTTTATTATAAAAAATAGTATAAAAAGGAAAACTATTTGATTAATCGAACGATAACTTTTTCTTCATTATAAATGTAACTATTAATCGCTCACGATGGCATTTATTCTAATATAGAAAAAAGTATAAAAGGCAAGTTTCGCGCGCGGATATACAGGGCGTTTTCTAACTGTATTTCAATAATGATGAATTTGAATAACGATTTTTCGGTCCATTTTTAAAAGAAAACTTCATATGGACATTTAAGACACATGTTTTCAAAAATAAATATATTTTTTTAATATCTGTGATACCGCGAGAAGCATTATTTAGTTTACCAAAATTGTTTAAAAATACGCCAGTGGCGGGCGTACGGAATTTTGGCAGCCACTGACGGTACGCCACTGATTTCTCTTTAAATAAAAATTATACTTACAATCTTTAATAATTTCTGAAGAAGTATAATTTCTTGAATTTTTCGAATCTGATGTACGATGTGCGCTTAAAAAATAAACACCTCTTATCTGTATGGTCATAACAATATCCTTAATGTGCCAGCATCCAGAGAAAGCAGTTTTTATTTATAAGTGAAAACCGTGCGAAGGACTAAAAAAAATTAAGCGATCAAATCCGCTCATAAATGAATGCAAATGTTATAACTTGTTGTAAGGAAATCAGTGGCGTGCCACTGCACTGGTTAAATTGAGAACTTTTTTTGTGAAAAATAAAATATCTATCTAAAACAAAATATCTAGTTTTTACTTAACTAGTGTCTTTCAGAAAAAAAGGTTAGAAAACGGTTGTTTTTACTTTTACCGTTTTAATGAAATAACAGCATCCTAACAACAAGATAAAGAATAAACGATTTTTATTTAAATACAATTTATTTAAGTTTACATACTTCGTATTCGTAATTCTATTTTTTGAATTATTTTGATAATGATAATAATTTTCTGCATATTGTCATATTATCGATATTGTTATGACGATGCAGAGAAGAGGAAAAAAATCAAGAAATTAAGTTTCCTTTAAAATGTTGGGAGATTGCAAGAACAATTTTTATTTTATGAGAAATTTCTGCCAAAAAGGACATGTCAAATTCCGCAAATTTCTTTAAAATATCTCAAAAGTTAAGACGGCCCCATAATTATTGAATCAGTCATCCGAGACGGTGTTTGTGAACCTCATTTAGCTCCGCCCATTTCAAACAATAGGAAAGCAGGTACAGAGTAAAATGCGAGCCAGTTTCAGTTAAGCTCTGAAGAAGCCAAAAGGATGATTGGCGAAACGTTAGCTAGTTCGACTCAAATAAAAACCGACGCAGGAGGAATCCAGAAGTTTTATAAATCGTAATTATTTATTTCTTCTTTCTCTCCCTTTGCAGCGAATATCGCAAAATTTTGACGGCACACGTGCCTCGTATCGCCATAAATGCATTGATTAATCAAACTTTTTTCATTTGCCGGCTTTAATGAGTTCCTATATGGGCGACACGGGCCCAAATAACATTACGGGCTGGAGGGGGGGGCTAAGGGGTCGAGGAACCTCCCTCCTCTCCGCCGATAGCGCCTAATCAAACGTCCATTTTCATCTAATCGCCAGGCGCGGGTCAGAAAAAAAAACGAGCTAATCAAACCAGGTGAAGGGCGGCGGATGCGGGGGGGAGCAAAAATCAAAACAAAAACTCACGGGAAAACATGCGCAGCGCCCGGAATCATTATATCTGTCCCTGTCGCGCGTCGGGACGCGCCAGAACGCCGCTCGCCAGCGTCCCGACGGCACGTATCGAGCGTCGGCTACGATGAAAACGGGTTGTTTCACGATCGCGCTATAATCACGTACCGTCGCGGTGCTACCGACAGTTCCCAGTTTCGGCCGTCGCTGCACACCTTCAGGCATGGTTTAGCTCGACCCCCGCGAGGTAAGTCGTTGTGTTTGTAAACGGCAGCGCGGAGAGGGCAGGGAGCGCCGCTTTTCTTTGTTTTACTTGCGGTAGTCGGGTACGCGTCCCGATCTGAATCCACTCGATTTCGGGTGGCGTCTGGCAAAATGACGTGTTACCAAAACCTGCATGCGTTTGCGATGGTACTTCTCATTAACTTCGGTAACCTTTTAACTGTTGCGATTAAAGCCTCAAAAATTTCTCTTAAATATTCAAATTATCTGCCCGGAAAGTCTAAGCCTAAGCCATTTCCAAAATGTTGTTACCTTTGTTGACTTTTTTAGTACTGTTCCGTCCCGTCTAGGTCTGACGGACGTCGACCGACCCACGATCACGTGCCGACGCTGTTGCCGCGTTTCCGGCCTATGCGATCGCGTCGACGTAAATCTCGGACCTCATTTTCTTTCAACGTATAAACTTACCCACTTACCGGCCTTAATCGCGACCATCTCAAAGCTAAAGGCAATAAAATTCTCAAACGAAACGGACAAGGGACACCGCCGCGGGTCTCCGAGCCTTTGGCGACGACATTCTGACCGTTAAGCTCTTTATTTACGGCGCATTTTTCAATTCCCTTTGACTGAACTCGCGTGACTGCCACCACGTCACGCGAGCGTCTAGAATGCGTACCAAAAGTAACGGAGCTTCACCTGCAACATGGCGAAGCGTGAACGTGGGTTCCAAATTGAGGTTAATTCTTCTTCTTGTTCCCATGGGATCATTTTTTGGGTTAAATGAAACATTATTAGCCACCGGAGACTCGTATGACAGCCAATATGGCGATTCGCGAATAGCTGATTGCAAAATATGAGGTTAGTTGACAATATGGTGACTTCAGAACAGCTGGGGTCGAAATTGAGGTTAATTCTACTTCGTCTTGTTTTTATGGTATCATTTTTCGAGAAAAAAAAACATCCAAATTCAATTGAGGTTAACTGACACTCTCGAACAGTTTAGTGCGTTGACATTATGGCGACTTCCGAACAGCTGGTTCGAAATTGAGGTTAACTTTCCTTTTTCTTGTTTCTATGGGATCATTTCTCGAGAAAAAAATGACATCCAAACTTAATAGAGGTTACCTGAAATGTTATTAGCAATCCGGAGACTCGTGTGACAGCCAATATGGCGACTTGAAAACCTGTTGCCAATAATCAGACATGAGGTGCAAAAATTGAGGTTACTTGACAATTTCTTGACTTACCAAGAATTGGGTTCAAAATTGAGGTTACCCGAAACCTTGTTGGCAATATGGGCTAGTTCGCAAACAGCTGATTGCAAAAATTGGACACTAGCGAACATCCAGGTCCAAAAATTGAGGTTACTTGCAATATGGCGACACACGAACAGCTGGGTTCAAAATTGAGGTTACCCCAAACTTTATACACAATACGGTGATTCGTGTGACCGCCAATATGGCAGTTCGCAGACAGCTGATTTCGAAAATTAAAGTTAAATGAAAATCACTTCGAAAAATAGAGATGAACGAATGTCAAGGTGCAAAAATTTGACAACATGGCCACGCACGTTAAAAATTGACGTTGCCCGTAACGTTATAGACAATACGGCGACCGGTCTGACCGCGGTTGGCGAAAAGTTAATTGCGAAGATTGAGGTTAATTGAGAAGCAGTGCAAAAATTGAGGTTAGTTGTCCATATGGCGGCGCAGGAACAACAAAATTGAGGTTAATTAAAAAAATTGACATTACTTGACAAGATGGCGGCCCGTGAACAGCTGATTCCAAAAATTGATGTTAACTGCAAACGCGTTGGCGATATATGGCGGCGTTTAAGTTTGTAACCGTCTTATGACGTCTCCGAACAAGCCGTATTGGTTCTTTTTTTTTAAATCATCTGTCGAATCGTTCGGAATGGTTTTGTCCGTGGTTATCGGCGTCGAAATGTAATCGGAAATTAAAAAGAAAACCGGGCAGTATTACGCGCAAAAGATCCGAAGCCAGTGGCGTTCCGAATCGATAAACACCAAGTTTCGCCAGTATAATGGCCGCCGTTGGGTATTGTTGACGCGACAGCAGCGTTCGTCGCCGCGTATAATTAAACTGGTTTGCATTATTAACGGGCCACACACGGTTTAATCAATTATTCAACCGTATCGATTAAAATTCAAGCAATATAAGAAGCACGTGTAAACGTACTTGGCTTTAAACCGGAACAGAGTGTATGTAACCCTCTGTGCTCCACCTGGGATCCAGAGGGAAGGGTTAATAATACTTCTCGTAGAAATGTTGACAGTGACGTGTAAGTAGCGAAAATTGTTTTAGGAGTAGCGCTTGATTAAGACACTGTTAAAAGTCAAAACAAGCGTAGAGTCGTTCTTCTTCTTGGCCACAATTGCTAGGATCATTCGGCCAATCTTCTCGGCAAATGGCGAGTTTCCTAGAACCTTGGCTTAGTTAAAAAGGACTGGAAAATTCCATCACCCTTCACAGAGATAGAATAAATCATGGAAAAATAGCAGTAACACTTTAGATTATTAAAGCAGACCAAACTAGATGCAAACTCCATCTGCGAAGGGTAAGCGGACAGGTTTTTAACATTAACTCTTAGTGCTTCAGTTAACATCAGTAGTTGCGTTGCGTTGTGTGTGAGTCGCCATTATGCCACGTCCCTCGACGCCGGTGTTCATCCTCAACATTCAAGCGTTAAACACGTTTTAGAGGTTAGTCAGCAAATATTTACTATCTCCAATAAAATTACAAGAGCGTCCCTAAAGCGGGCAGCTGTTCGCGGAAAGACTCTTTTAAATTGGAACAAACGAAAGGCGAGGAAGACAAAAAGCGGACGAGGCCCAACTAAAGTACCATAAAGTAACCAAACGACCTCTAAATAAGCTGCGACGCGGCAATAAACAGGCGAGAGAAACAACGAACCGAGAGAAATAAAGAATAAGTCGCAGAAAACCCGCCACTAGTTCTAATTCGATTCCCCGTGCAGTTCGGGCGACTTGTCTCGCAGCCGGAATGACAATGAGACGATATTAAGTCCGTGAAAAGTTGTGCGCTCCTTGTTCCAGTCGAATAACCCGCGACAGGGACGTCGTTTACATTACGGAAACGCTTAAGGTGGAAACGTAGCGTCTGTAAAACGCGAAGAGCTCATTAACTGGCCTTGCATTACCGCGACAATGGCGTATCTGATCCAAATGCTTTTACCGTCGGCCAGAAACGTTAATGGCTGTCCTAATGCGGCAGAAGCTTTCAACGGCGGCCTGGCCACGATCGCTCGACGTAAATTCGCCGCTTTTCGACAACATGGCCGCCCGTAATCAGCTGATTGAAGGAAATCGTAGCCTATGGAAGGTGTTAGGCTAGTTTCGTTAATATGGCGACTCGTGAACAGCTGTCACCTGTGGATAATGCAAGATGGCGGAACGCGATCAGCTGATTGGACGGCATCGTAACCTAGAACGAGTTTCGCCAATATGGCGGCTCACTACATATAACCTAAAAAAGGCGAATTTCGAACGTGGCGCGGGAAGACGATCGAAATGCGTTATTTTAGGTTAATTAAATGTTTTTCGGGGGGTCTGTTATCGGGACGTGCATGTGTCGCCCGGCTAATCTCACCGTATGCCGTCCAAATTATCGCAGTTCGAAAAATATATTCCCGCGTGTGATAACGGTTGTGATTGATAGGTAGCTATTTCGACATCTGCTTTATCTCCGCCCGTCGTCGGTCGAGGGCCTTGTGATTACAATGCCCCGCTCGCTTCCCTTTAGGATTCGATTAACGAATAGTGTCGGCTAAGTTAATAAGCAAACTTTATAACGAGGTGTCTGCTGTGTCTCGCTCGCCGGGACCCTTTCGGTGTCTGTTAATTAAGTTCTAGGCGCGTAAATAACGTGCGTTTTTCTTTTAATGCTTTCTTGCGATGACTGGTTCCTCCCAACCTGCTCTCATGTTACCCGTGTACACACTCTTTCTTTCAATTCCTTTCGTATTAATCCAACTTTTCGTGGGCGTCCCTCCTTTATTTTCCCCTACGATGTCCCCATTAGTATTTGTTTTGGTATCCGATTTTCGGGCATTCGTTTTTTGTTATTTTGTCTTGCGTTTGATCTTCCAGACGATTTCTACTAGAAGTTGTTAGAAGCATGTTTTTAATGTTCTTCTTTGGTTATCATACCATAACTGATTATAATTTTGATAATTGTGTTATATATGGTTTTTTCATTAGATCTGGAGATACTATTGTCCAACAGAATGCCATTATCATGGATATTGCTTTGCGGCCTTTATTCCCTCATCTAGTTTTCCGTCGCGTGTTATTTTTAGTCCTAGGTGTTTATAGAGTTGACGTCCTACATGTTCCTCCTACTGTCATACTCCCCATATATTCCAGGTCATCAATATCTTGGACTAGAAGCATTTGGTCATCTGCAAAGCGGCTTGTTTGAGATATATATTTTAAATAATACAAACCTTTTGCTATTGGTATGCTTTCAGATAATGTGTCCTGTATTTTAACTTTATGTTTATATTCGTTTTTTTCTAAGGTCTCCCACAATATTTCCAGAGGTATCCGAAGGTCTATGCAGAGGACGTGTAAAGTCTATTCATAGATATAAGAAAGTGACTAACTGATACGAATTAAGGAAAGACCCGGGCAAGCTGTAAGAATGAAATATGGCCGAACAGGTCCGTACTTTGCTTAGAATTTAATTATATGGGGTTTTGTTAGGAAAGATATTAAACAATATTTATTTATTTATGTATGTATTTATGTTTAAATCTAAAATAAAATTACTGCTTTTTTATATGTTTAACAGAATTTGCCCAACTTTGTGGAGGGATGTTAAAAACTTCGATTTCTATAAGATTGAGCACATTGGAGTTAACACGGGGAAAAACATTGTTACGACCAATGGCAGATAAATGTCGTTATTATACATGTAGTTTTGGATCGTTGCTTTTGTGTCACATGAGGAAGGGATTTTAGTCAACTATCTACTGTGATAACT